TTAAGTCATTATTCTTCTGAATTTCATTTTCTTTTATTGCCTGTAAAGAAATTGCTTTGATTCTACTGCTACTACTTATCTTATCTTTAGACGAGTTGTTGATTCTTACGCCAGAATTTACTTTCCAAGATTTGTAATGCTGATTCTGCAAATACTAGTTATAATCATTGTCTCATTGAGAGTTTTTACTCTTCTTTATCTTTTCAATTCCGCTTTCAGGTTCATTTGCGCAACCTATTATTATCGCAGCGTTTAAAATCCATTGTCTTTATTGAAATTACTTTCGCTCTTCTTTATTTCTAACAAATCCCGGGACATTTCAGTATGAAATTATTTTGTTTCCCTCTAGCGAATCTCAAGTTCCGCTTTCTAAATTTAGTATCTTTCTTTTGATATAAGGTTTCTTTTGTTCTACATTCTCTCTACTTTCCATAAGCATTCTCTCTTTAAACTCGAAGCAGATGCCTACGAATGAAAATAAGAACAAACGAATATATTGAAATGACTTATAATTTTTAAAGTTTTTCTAGGCCAGAAACGTAACTTTTCTTAATGCAATTTTATATTGTAAATATTTAGACAGAGGAGAGTTTTGTAAATTTGAAAGACATTGCAGTAATTTCTGGAAAGTACAATACCTTCCAGTGTGAACCCAAATATTCTTAGCCTTCTAATGAATAAATTAGAAACTGTTTCCTATATAGAAGATTCTAGAAAAATATTAGAAAAGTCATAGAAAAAGATTAGAAATTGTGTACCATGCGTTCCGTATTTTGAATGATTTACAGAGAAGCATTTTAAAACAAATTTGTTAACGTGTGGGGGGAGCATTTTAGGCACTAGCCATTTTAGGCTTTGGCTCTATTAAGGCTAGAAGCGGTGGTCATTTGCTTATGAAGGAACCTAACAGGCGGCCGTTGTTTCCTCGCATGTGAGGACACACAATTTGCATCCATATATTCTCCGGGATTTAAATCCGGGCCCATCCCTATAGCAGTCAGAGTTACTAACCATTTTCCTGTCTGGGCGGTACATTATAAATATCTCCCACTAAAATTTTAGAAAACATGGCAATTTCCATCAAAGTATTCGCAGTCTTCAGTCCGTCTTCCGAAGAGTAACCGCTTAAAAAATTAAAAAAGTCAAAATTTGGAGTATGATTCGTAACGCTTACAAACTCCAGTTTCAACAGTTTATATGAGTCGGGCAAGAACTCAGGGAATTATCTTTCGATGACAGCTGAACTCTACTTAGTAATAAAAAAATCTGATGTGTACACCACATGACTTCCTTGCACGGAATATTAAATTATACACAATTTTTCTTGCATTTTATTTAAACTTATTAGATTGAATTAAACCTACTTCGCATAAACCACAATAGAATAAATGCATTCTTTAAAATTCACTTTGTTTACCATAGCGACACTCTGGCGCTAGGTTTACTTAACAGTATTATATTTCATTCATATTATAACTCAGAATGCACAAAATGTATATCATTTAAAGAATTATCTAATCGTTGCCACATGTTCTATTCAAATACTATAATAAAGCTAGAACTATGTATAAAAGAAATTAAGCAAACAAAACAAGAAAGAAACAGTTTTTCACAGACGATTGAGTATTTCTCATTTAATTAATTCAGTTCTCACTTCGCGAGAAGCCAAAAATACATAAAAACTCAAAATATCTATATTAAAATAAAGAAGTAAATCTCAAACGCTTATTTCCTCGAAAAAATTCCAGAAAGAATTAAGCATGATTTAATTGGCAATAATAAATGAATGCGTTATCTTTGTTGTTTCGAAGCTAAGTTTCTCTAGATTGGCAACAAATCCACTAGTCTCTTGTTTCAAATGTACACATCAATGGCCGCCATTAAAAACAAGCTTAGTGGCAATTAAACAACTTTAAAATTGCTGATAATTCTAAAAATATTGCACAGAGATTTACCAAAGGCATAAAATCCTTAACCGGAAGATAAAAACACATAATTCAATCATTTTAAACAACCAAAAATGTACAATTTACAAACATATAAGAGTACAGAAACTGAGATCACTGAGCCGGGTAATAGAGTGGATATATATATAAATATATTTATATACATTTGGTGCGGCCGATTGCAACCAAAATAAAGGTGCACATCTACATGTTATAGCAGTCCTATATACAAAATTTTAACGTTCTGAGGCTACTCGTTTTTGAGTTATGCGAGATACGTACATACGTACCTACGTACGTTCGCACGTACGTACATACGTTCGTACAGACGCCACGAAAAATTCTCTTCAGAATTAATTTTAAAGCAGTTTTATAATTTTTTGGAAGGAAAAGAGTATTTTATTCTGTCCTTACGTACAGATATCACGAAAAAACATCGTTAAATTGCATTCGATAGCGGTCAAAATGGATATTTTCGTTGAAATATGCTGCCTGAAACTTTTCGCGATTACAATACCTCCTTTTTACTTCGTACAAGGAAGTAAAAAACTTGAAACATCTCAGTAGGAGGAAAGAACGAATTTTTAAGCAAAAAATCCAGATGATTGTAATTGCATATTTGTGTAAAATATGAGCTCTGTTCTCTCTTTCCTAGGAAACGTACCTGCGTGCCTTATTAATGTCTCATGAAGACAGCTATGTACTTTCATTATCTGTGAAGTAAGCATATAAAAAAAGAAAATAATCGATAGCCATTCAGGCTTAATTTAAGTTTTATAAACTTAAAAATAAATCTAGTTTTTATGTTTCTTTAAGCTGACTACACATTTTAATCCAATAAATCCAAAGTAATTTCACTTTGCTGTTATTATGCTATAAATGAGCCAAAGTATTCTCTTATTTTCATTTTTTGGGCAGTAAATATGAATGGATTTAGACTGACAGCATGGAACAAAAAAAGTTATTTTCATTCGAACACATCGCGGTTAAGTGAGCTAAAGTGCGTCAGAGGACATTATTAAAATTCTGAACAAAAAATGAAGCAAAAAAAAAAAAAAAAAAAAAAAAAAAAGTGGTACGCAGGGTTTATTTGAATTAAAAGCTGAGACCTCTAATGCTTTTACATCACTTTTTGTCATGTGAAGTGAAACAGTTTTTTGTTTGTCCTCGGAAGAAAAAAAAAATATAAAATAAAAATAAGCAGTTTATTTAAATATGTCTACTCTGCTATTACAGCTAGAAAATTTAGGGTCAAATTAAATTTATCTGAAAAAACGTAACGTGGGATGATTCTTCGTTTCGTCACTAATCACATCTTTTATAATCCGCATTTTTAGGGGGAAAAAATCGAGTTTATTATTTTGTTTCCTTCATTTGAATGAAGACTATAATGAGATGCTTTTATAAAGAATTCTTAAAAAATTGCATATGTTTTCTAGCGCAGCAGGGATTAAAAAGGCTTTACTTGGTTTAATATATTTGCCTAAACAAAGACACATCAAATTCTACGGACTTTTGGATTTTAATGCAGTGCTTCGCAAGATTAATGTAAACTTGAAACTGAATTTTAAAATGATTACTGTTAGTGTAAAAAAATGAAAGCAAAATGCGTAACGTTACTGGAATACTGAGAAGAAATGGAGGATAAATAATTAAAAGTAGCGAAATGTGCGAACAACAATGGAAAGAAACGTAAAGTTTAAATATCCTATACGTTAAGACACAATAACACGCCGAATAAATACTAATTCAGAAGTCAAACAACAGAAATCAGCGTTATATTTTCAAAATTTTCGCAGGACTAGTTTCGCTGGTTTAACTGAACCACATTCTCAGCTGCAAAACCGCAAATGAATGCGGTTTCTTCATTTGCGGTTTTGCAGCTGAGGATGGTGGTTCGCTAAGACCATCGAAACTAGTCCTGCGAAAATTTTGAAAATATAACGCAGATTTTGTTGTTTGACTTCTGAATTAGTATCCTATACGTTGCTCGCTTCTAGGCTTCTGAAAGCAAAGCAGGCACAAAGCCACTTCGAGATTTGGGGGCTTATATTCCATTGCTTACGAACAAAGCTCAAAATTCAAAGTCACAATAAAACAAGCCATACGAATAATTTCATTTTCCATTAGTTGGAAACTTATGCATACTTCTTACATTGTCTATAAAACTATAATACAATAAGGGGTTTTCTTGCTTTCGTTTCACTTGTCTGTACTTTATAGGTAAAAATATTAACTTCCTTTAAGACCCTTTCCTTCATATTTACAACTCGACTAATGAGAATTTCTGACTGTCATGTCTTCATTTAAAGTTAGAGACAGGTGACTCTTTCTTTCACTTGAATATCCGATAGAAATTAATAGTCCTAATTTTAAGCAGTGCTTCTGCGACCGAGTATTTCAGACTGTTGAACACTGGTAGTTCAATTCGAATCAGAATTCCGGCGATAGGATTGAGTTCATGAGTCTTTCCGTGGATTACCTCACGTGTAACATCCATATGAGCCAGTTTCCTTTGGAGAAGCTTTCACAATTACATCCTTTCACTTTGGCAGATAACCCTAGTGTACATTGCTATCATTAAATAATCTAATATAACCTAATTTTTACAGTATAATGTGTTTTCTCCCTCCTTACTTCACGCCTTCCTGGTGTGACTGGAAGCACATCCGACTAGCTATCGAGAGGTTTGGAGTTGAATCTTGGTAAGGGCATTACACATTTTTCTCGTTTCCTGCACAAAAAATAAAATGCCCCTGCTAGGTAAAAGTTGTGACCCAAGTTTGAAAATATGCAATAATCAAGAGTATAAAATACCTGAAATTTAAGGAGTCTTGGTTTAACAGTTGGCCAAGTCTTGTCAAGACTTAAAAATACTAAATGCACTGTGAATGTCAAGACTTAAAAATACTAAATGCTCAGTGAATAAGTATTTTTAAGTCAAGACTTAAAAATACTTATTCACTGAGCATTTAAGTAGAAATAGTAAGACAATTATATGGTCTAATTTCTATATAATTATACTGAAAATATTTGAAATTTTATGATACTTACTAGAGCGAGAAACAAAGGCAGGAAAAGAGTAAAATGCGTTTGGATAAATGACGGCGATTTGTAGACTCGATGCAGGATTTCCATAAATGCAGGTTCCATCGATGCAGGTTTGCGAAATGCTGCAGTACCTAGAAACAAGATAGGAAGACATATAGCTGCAGTGACTCGAAGAAGTAAGAGTTGAATTGTATAAAAGTTTCAATGCCACATGATTAATTTTAAACAGTGGTTTAGTTTTGCAATTTATTTTGCTTATCATCTTGACTCCATGCATTCTGTCCTCTTTTGTAAATGCAAAAAGCGCTTCAAGAATGCAGTAATAACCACGACATCATAAATAGCTTTTCAATGGATATTTTTAAACTTTATCTTTTATTATCGGAAATAAGACTTAATATTAATAATTTCTAATGTTATTTTTACTGTTTTAAATATTATGCAAAATAGGAAATTGCCTTCTTGCATTTCCGTATAATATTGAAATATTAAAGAAATAAGATTCAAAATAAAAATTACAGAAGACGCTTCATAGTCTTTTTAGATTCAGAGCTGCTATAACCTCTGACAAATTCTTGTTATAGAGAAAAACAAAATGAATCATCATGTATGAGTTACTTGCTCTTGCTTGCCATATTCTCTTTAATTTCTATGTATGATTTCGTATACTTAACATGTAGAGAGATTAGGTAATTTTGGAGTCACGATGAGAAATTAGCAACGCCTTCGCCGGGAATCGAACCGCGGACCTCTGGAATACGCGCCTAGCATGCAGACCCCCACACCGCGAAGGCATGCAAAGAAAGCGGGAGAAATACCTTATAAACATGCGTAGAGCTCTAAAAAAGAGCATATCTTAAAATTAACAAGAAATAATCTGACAAGTGTTATTAATAAAAAGTAAAAATAAATTTAGTTAAATACGAACTAGATAGAGTTATTAAAACGGAATGGCGGTAACATAAAACTGAAGTTCAATATACATTGATTCCTTAAAATGAAACACGTTTCATGAAAAAACAATAAATACAGAGTCCGAGAAACCCAAGAAGTTAAGATAATTTTAATGGCTGACTTAGAGTTCAAGCAAGATCTGTTTACGTCAAATAAAGTTTTGTAGACGTATTGCTGTAGGAATTAAAAATTTAAAGTGTATGCAGAATCTTTATGAAACGGATATTCTAAACATTTATATTAAACAACTCCATAAGATTTAAGTAAGGGGATATTTAAGAAGTTGTTGGAAATGAAACATTGTTCATAACTAAACTGGGAAACATTTTTTAATCACAGTGAAAATTTTCGACAGGTCTTAAATTGTAGATAAGCAAAGCGCAAAATTAGCTAATAAATTCTCTTCGGAAGTGATGAAGCGGATAAAATGTTTCTGCTCAACTTTCATGGCGTGTGTAAGAATCCCCTGGTGGAATGAGGATATGGGGTTTGATGGGAACTCAGTGACAAGGTGCAGAATCTGTCTTAAACCTCCAACGGTAGAAAATTGATACGTTCCTTTAAAACCCAGGTGAAGCATATCTGTTCTCCATGAGGAGAGGGAATATGATAACACAGAATAGCTCTTACGTCTTGTTTATATGTACCTTTATCTTGTTATGTATCTTGTCTCGAATACTTCGGTACTATGTTAAAGTCTAATATTAATTAGAACATTATATTTACGTAAAGATACAAGTCTTAATTGTTTTATGAAGGTGTTACAAGTTAGAAACTGATTTAGCTTCAACGCCTTCAATGATTCTTAATAAAATTACTATAAAAATTGAAGATAATTCCTTATATTTTTATCATTTTGTTAATAACTATTTGCTTCTTATTTTAACTTAAATTTAAAACACTTTCTTGTAGATTTCCTACAATAGATATATGCAGCATGGTATTACGGTTTCTCTCGTCATTTAATTATTAACTAAATTTTTCAATTTGAAGATTCCTTACAGTAGCTATATGCAGCATGGTACTACGGTTTCTCTACTCATTTAACTATTTTACATAATTTTTCAATTTGTAGATTCCTTACAGTAGCTATATGCAGCATGGTACTACGGTTTCTCTACTCATTTAACTATTTTACATAATTTTTCAATTTGTAGATTCCTTACAGTAGCTATATGCAGCATGGTACTACGGTTTCTCTACTCATTTAACTATTTTACATAATTTTTCGATTTGTAGAGTCTTTACAGTAGATAGTATATGCAGAATGCTATTACGGTTTCTGTTCTCATTTAATTATTTACGTAATTTTTCAATAACGAAATTTTCAATAAGGGCTGATTTTCTATTTTAAATAATTCATCACTTCTATAATTTAAATGAGTTTCCATGTTTCCATCTTCCTAATAAAGCTTTTTTAATTAATCTTTAAAATCTTTAAACGTCTTCCATTGCAAGCAAAGCATTAGAATTATAGTTTCAAAACAAGATTTTAAAACATTAATTTTTTCCATTATATTTCATGAGCAACTATGTGAGACATATGGAGATTTCTTACAACCCTCATATTTTCAGGTACAATAAAATAAAGTACCACTTTCATAAAAGACATTTCACGTTTGAATTTTCTTCCAGGCAATCTGTTTAAGTACAAGAATAATTACAAAAAAGTAGCTATTTAAATGTACTGTTTCGAATTTTGTAGTAAAATTTTATGTTTAAAATAATCAAATTAAAAATTTATATATGTAAATAATTTTAGTGAAGTTATGCTTAAATTATAGTACCTTTTGTATAATGTACGTGAAAATCTGAAGATGCTAAGCTCTGCCGAAAACGTAAGATTGCAGGGGCAAGTCTAACTTTGAAGTAAATAGTTATGTCAGTAAATTGGCGAGATATCGTCAAGCTGGCGACAGTTTTGGCGACTAATTTTTGCCGAAAAATTTGAAATATCCAAAAGTTGCCAAACTTGGAGACCTTTTGGTGACATTTTGGTCCGGTCCCTTTATAACTGTAAATAGTATTGTGATTAAATAAATGTAATTGATCCGAATATGTAATTGTAATGCATCTGACCCTCATATGCCTTCCAGTAATTTTGAAAAGAGAAGGTACTAGAGATTTCTTGGAAGCCGAAAGAAACCTGAGTAAGATCGGAGAGAGCATCCATTTTTCAGTTGTTTAGTTCAGCGTGAGGTCAGAGTACTGAGAGATCTCGGTAGGAGCTCCCCCTTTTTAAACGTGCTTTGCATTGCGTACTGTTTGACGTTCTTAGTGGCTTGAAGAGTTGTAAGAATTCATTGTGCTTTCTGATTTTGAGAAGAGATGCACGAGTATTTTTGGGGGAAGTTCAACTGTAAAGTGTTTTTTTTTTTTTTTTTTTTTTAAGATAAATTTTATCATGCTACAAAAAACATGTATACAGAAAAACTTCATTAAAATAACGAACTAAGTTTTAGAAAGAGTTGAATGACTTTTGGCAAATTTAATTTAAAAAACAAAACATTAGTGGATTGAACAAAATAGTTTTAATTTGCTTGAAACGTAAATAACTTAATCTTTCTTGTTTTGCAGTCGGTATTTAGAGGTGATTATAAATTCAAATTTCCAAATTTCGAAAGGTGCTTTAGATTTACTTCATTGTACATTTTAAATTATTCAAATAATTCACTTTATTAAATTAAATTTAATGATTGTAAGCTAAAGGAAAAAATCTGTTAAAATTATATTTTCTAAATTTCGTTTATTATTTTATTTTTAAACCTACTAATAAGCACAAAATTATTAAAAAACTTAATATGGATTTACTCTCAAAACGTTTCATTATGTTTTAGAAGCAATTTTAGAATCCCTGGCTATCATACACTAAGAAAGCTACGTAGTTAACATAAAATATTATACTGTATATCTGTATATATATTTTAAGATGTTGGAATTTAAGATTTAACACGCAGAAAGTAACAAATCGAGACTTACTGAAGATTCTGGAAGATCTACTGTTACTTATTCTGAGAATCTCATTGTTTTGTAAATGTGCGTTTTGAACCATAATTGAAAAAATCTGATGTGTACACCACATGACTTCCTTGTATTGGAATATTAAATTGGAATATTAAATTATACATTTTTTCTTGCATTTCATTTAAACTTATTGGATTGAATTAAATCTACTTCGCCGATAGCGCATAAACCACAATAGAATACATGCATTCTTTAAAATTCACTTTAGTATTTGTTTACCATAGCGACACTCTGGCGCTAGATTCACTTAACAGTATTAATAATTATATAACAGTTAACTTATATAATAATTTTATAACGGAAACTAAGTTAACTGTTATATAATCCAATAATTATATAACAGTTAACTTATATATTTCGTTCATATTATAACTCATAATGCACAAAATTTATATCATTTAAAGAATAGAATTATCTAATCGTTGCCACATGTTCTATTCAAATACTATAATAAAGCTAGAATGATGTATAAAAGTAATTAAGCAAACAAATAAAAAAAGAAACAGTTTTTCACAGACGATTGAGTATTTCTCATTTAATTAATTCAGTTCTCACTTCGCAAGAAGGCAAAAATACAAAAAAAAAACTCAAAATATCTATATTAAAAATTACGAAGTAAATCTTAAACGCTTATTTCCTCGAAAAAATTCCAGAAATAATTAAGCATGATTTAAATAATAAATGAAGGCGTTATCTTTGTTGTTGCGAAGCTAAGTTTCTCTAGATTGGCAACAAATCCACTAGTCTCCTGTTTCAAATGTAAACATCGATGGCCGCCATTAAAAAAGGCTTAGCGGCAATTAAAAACTTTTAAAATTGCTGATAATTCTAAAAATATTGCACACAGATTTACTAAAGGCATAAAATCCTTAACCGGAAGATAAAAACAACATAATTCAATCATTTTTAAAGCAAAAAATGTACAATTTACAAACATATAAGAGTAAAGAAACTGAGATCACTGAGCCGGGTAATAGAGTGGATATATATATATATATATATAAATATATTTATATACGTTTGGTGGGGGCCGATTGCAACCAAAATACGAGGTGCACATCTACATGTTATAGCAGTCCTATATACAAAATTTCAACGTTCTGAGGCTACTCGTTTTTGAGTTATGCGAGATACGTACGTACACACGTACGTA